CGTGACTGCCTCCGTCCCCGCCCTCGATTTCGAGCGAGTGCGGGTGGAACTTGGAGCTGCTCCGGAGACCCACGTGCTGCTCCTGCTGCAGGCGCTGCGACACGTGAGTTGGGAGGGGGGGGCCGCAGGAGTGCCTTGGGTTGGGGTGGGTGGGTGAAGGGGGTGGGGGTGGTATCAAGGGGGGAAGGATAGGGCTAAGGGAAGGGAAGGAGGGGGGGGGGTGAGGGAGGTGTTGTGAGGAACTCATGGAGGAGGGAAGGAAGGGGGAGGGAGGTAGTTTTTGTAATGTGTGTGTGTAGGAGAGGTAGGGAAATGTATACATATATACCATATCAACTTGCGTTTGTTTGCGTGTATGCGAACTGTATGCGTCTTGCATGCGAATAGCGATTGCATTTGCATTGTATAATTGTCCTGTTCCTAAATCTGTGACCCTGGTGACCCTGCATGCCCGTCACCCCTTCGGCCCCCTCCTCTCACCCAAGTCCCGTCCCCGCAGCGCATCACCCGCGTGAGCACGGGCAGCGTACGGCAGGCGGTCGTCACAGCCTACGCGAGGGGCGACGTGCTGGGCGTGCGAGGGCCGTGCAGGTCGTGGAGTCGTCTGGCGGCCGCCCTCACCCCCATCACACCACAACCCTCCTTGCGCAGACGACGGCCAGGTCATCAACGCCCTCACTGCCTTCGGCGCCGGCAGGAGCTATCTGTGCAGGTAGGTGGGGGGAAAAGGGGGTGGGGCATGTATCCATCTCTCTCTGTCTCTCTCGCTTTCTCTCTTTCTTCTTTCTCTCTGTCTGTCTGTTCTGTCTGTCTCTCTTTCTTCTCTCCCTCTCTCTCTCTCTCTCTCTCTCTCTCTCTTTCTCTGTCTTTGTCTCTGTCTGTCTGTCTCTCTCTCTCTCTCTCTCTCTCTCTCGCTCGCTCTCTCTCTCTCTCTCTCTCTCTCTCTCTCTCTCTCTCTCTCTCTCTCTCTCTCTCTCTCTCTCTCTCTCTCTCTCTCTCTCTCTCTCTCTCTCTCTCTCTCTCACTTCCTTTCTCTTCTCTCTCTCTCTCTCTGTCTGTCTCTTCTCTTCTCTCTCTCTCTCTCTTCTCTCTCTCTCTCTCCTCTCTCTCTCTCTCTCTCTCTCTCTCTCTCTCTCTCTCTCTCTCTCTTCTCTCTCTCCCCTCCCTCCCTCCTCCCTCCCTCTCCTCTAGACAAAAGACAGAAACAGAGGCAGAGACAGAGACAAAGGAAACCATTAAGAAAAAAAATAGACACAAGAACAGAAATAAGATTAAACCAAAAAAACGAGAAAAAAAATCGAGCATACTAATAGCAGCTCCTCCTCATACCCTTCCGCAGCGAGGAGGTGTGCCAGGTGCTCCTGGGGGCGCTGAAGGTGGAGGAATCCGACCCCACCACGACGGACATGACCCTCGCCGCCCTGCAGAAGCTCTCCATCAGGTATGACAGAAGCCACGAAGGGTGTCGATGGGTTTGGAAGGTTGAGAGGGAAAGTAAGGAAATGTAGCTGTGGTGATTTTTTTATTTAGTTTTTATTTATTTATTTATTTTAGGTCTTGTCTTTTTGGGTTGTTTTTTTTTCAGGATTTTTGCTCCTTTTTGTAAATTGTTTGGGTTTGGGTTTCTCTGTTCTTGGAGTGAAGTCTGGGCCTGTTTTATTATTATTTTTTAAGTTGCAAGACCGATTTTTGTTTAATGATTAGATCATGTACCAAACTAGATGCAAATATACGTTCAACAATGTAGATTATCACTAACAATTTCAAGTAAACAAATTCTTTATCATCACAGAAAAAATAATACAACTCATCAACGTATGCCCAAACCAGACCAAACAACATACACGAATAAATAACAACAACAACAAAAGCACAACAACAATAACAACAACAACAACACACAAATAACAATAAACCCATCCCTAATCCCTCTTCAGGGGCGAGGTCCAGTCGACCCTGATCCGCAACGGCGCCGTCGAATGGCTCGTGTCGACCCTAGGGAACACCACCAACCTCTCGCCCTACACCATGGAGTACGCGACGGCCCTGCTCATGAACCTGACGCTGAGGTCCGCCGGGAGGTCGCGCTGTGTCCCCCTCGCCCGGAGCCTCCTGCCGACGCTCACGCACCTCCTGGCCTCCGTGCCCGTGCATGTGAGTGTGTGGGGGGCGGGGGAGGGAGGGGGTGGGGTGTGTGTGTGTGTGACTGTTTTTTTCTTCTTTTTCTTTTTCTTTTCTTGTTCTTGTTCATCTTCTCGGGGAGGGGGGTGGGTGTGTGTGCGTGTGTGATTGTTTTTTTCTTCTTTTTCTTTTTATTTTCTTGTTCTTGTTCTTGTTCATCTTCTTGTTCTTGTTCTCCCTCTCCTTCATCTACTTCATCATCTTCGATAACTCCTCCTTCGTTCTTTCTTTTTTTTTTTTCTTTTCTTCTCTTCTTGTTCTTGTTTTCCTTCTTGTTCTTGTTCTCCTTCTCTTCCTTCTTCTCCTTCTCCTTCATCATCTTCGTCTTCTCTTCCTCCTTTCTCATCTTCACCTTCTTCTTCTTTTTCTTCTTTTTTCTTTTTGTATTTCTTTTCTTCTTGTTCTTGTTTTCCTTCTTCTTGTTTTTCTCTTACTCCTTCTTCTCCATCTTCCTCTTTTAATTCGGCTTCATACGTGCACACAGATGGGACAATCAATTGCATATACAGATGCAGTGTATGTATCTATCTACTCGTCATTCTCTCTATCCATATCTGTTTATATATCTTTCTATTATCTATCTATCTATCGATCTATCTTATCTCTTCAAGTCGGGAATCGTAACAAATACGGAAATGAGAAGATAGACCGATAGATAAATATATGTATTTATAGATAGCTTTGATAGAGAACAGAGATATATATAAACTGAACAGAAAGAGAACAGAAAGATATAAATCTATCTATAAAACAACAGAAAGGTATAAATATACCTATAAACAACAGAAAGAGAATAGAAAGAAACTGAACAGAAAGGTATAAATATGTCTATAAACTGAACAGAAAGATATAAATATGTCTATAAACTGAACAGAAAGGTATAAATATATCTATAAACTGAAGAGATAGGTATAAATATATCTATAAACTGAAATAAAGATATAAATATGTCTATAAACTGAACAGAAAGGTATAAATATATCTATAAACTGAAGAGAAAGGTATAAATATATCTATAAACTGAACAGAAAGGTATAAATATATCTATAAACTGAATTATAAAATATATCTATAAACTGAACAGAAAGGTATTAAATATATCTATAAACTGAACACAGAAAGGATATAAATATATCTATAAACTGAACAGAAAGGTATAAATATGTCTATAAACTGAACAGAAAGGTATAAATATATCTATAAACTGAACAGAAAGGTATAAATATAACTATAAACTGAACAGAAAGGTATAAATATGTCTATAAACAACAGAAAGGTATAAATATATCTACAAACAACAGAAGGAGAACAGAAAGATATAAATATATCTATAAACTAAACAGAAAGATATAAATATACCTATAAACTGAACAGAAAGGTATAAATATATCTATAAACTGAACAAAAGGAACAGAAAGCTATAAATATGATAACTGAACAGAAAGATATAAATATGTCTATAAACAACAGAAAGGTATAAATATATCTATATACAACAGGAGAACATAAAGATATAAATATACCTATAAACTGAACAGAAAGTTATAAATACATCTATAAACTGAACTCAGTTTCCTTATCTCTCTCATCTCCCTCGCCAGGTCGTGCCCTATGTGACCGGGGCGCTGTACAGCCTCCTGTCACACCCGGCTCTGCGTCAGGAGGCTTTTCATCTTGGGCTGGACACATCCCTTCAGCATCTCGCTCAGGTATTTTTTTGTTTTTTGTTTTTGTTTTGTTTGTTTGTTACGTATTGTTTTGATTTTTAAAGGGGATTTGTGATTTGTTGTGGTTGGGGAAAGTTTGTTTGGAGAGGCTCAGGTATTTTTGTTTTGTTTTGTTTGTTTTGTTTGTTTGTTACGTATTGTTTGATTTCTTTTTTTTTCTTGTTTTTAAGGGGATTTGTGATTTGTTGTGGTTGGGGAAAGTTTGTTTGGAGAGGCTCAGGTATTTTTGTTTTGTTTTGTTTCTGTTTTGTTTTTGTTTTGTTTGTTTTGTTTTGTTACGTATTGTTTGATTTCTTTTTTTTCTTTTTTTAAGGGGATTTGTGATTTGTTGTGGTTGGGGATAGTTTGTTTGGAGAGTTTAATTTTGATTTATTTGTTTGTATGTTTTGAATTTCATATTGATGTAAAAAAAACCTGAATGGGGTGGATTAACATAATTTCTCTTTTTGCAAGATTTTTTTTCCTCTATGTATTCGATATACATATATATATATATATATATATGTATATTATATATATATATATATATATATGTATATATATATATATATTATATATATATATAATATTAATATTATATATTATATATTATATATATATTTTTTTTTTTTTTTTTTTTTTTTTTTTTTTTTTTTTCTTTTTCTTTTTTTTCTTTTTTAATCTTTTCTTTTTACTACATATTCACCCTGTCTAATGTAGATATAACTATATTCCTTCAAGTCGCACTTTTGCATTTCACAGATCAATATAATTTTGGATTACCTTCTAATGCCATTTACCAAACTATTTTTAGCTGTATACACGAATTACCAACGATTTAGATTTGACAGATTTCACAGGATCAGTAAGTATGTACATTCTTAAACAACGACTTTAATTGTCATTTTTCACCATTTTACGTATTTTTTTCTCCATTTTTTCTTTTCCTTTTCATTTCATTTTTCACTATTTTACGTAGATTTTCTCCATTTTTCTATTTTTTTCATTTTTACCATTTGTTCCGTATTTCTCCATTTTTCTCTATTGAATATGTTTCCATTTAAAAAAAAAAAAAGAAAAATCTTTATTTTTTCCATTTTCAAATATTTTCTCTATTTCTTATCATTTTCCCCCTTTTTTCTCCCATTTCCCTCAACATTCCTCCATTTTCTTATCATTTTCCCCTTTTTTCTTCATTTTTTCTCCCATTTCGCTCAACATTTCTCCATTTTCCTCAACATTCCTCCATTTTCCTTAACATTTCCCTCAACATTCCTCCCTATTTTCTACATTCTCTACATTTTCCCCTTTTTTCTTCATTTTTTCTCCCAATTCCTTCAACATTTCTCCATTTTCCTCAAAATTTCCTCATTTTTCCTCCATTTCCCTCAACATTCCTCCTTATTTTCTACATTCTCTTACATTTTCCCCTTTTTTCTTCATTTTTCTCCCAATTCCTTCAACATTTCTCCATTTTCCTCAAAATTTCCTCATTTTTCCTCCATTTCCCTCAACATTCCTCCCTTTTTTCTACATTCTCTACATTTTCCCCTTTTTTCTTCATTTTTTCTCCCAATTCCTTCAACATTTCTCCATTTTCCTCAAAATTTCCTCATTTTTCCTCCATTTCCCTCAACATTCCTCCTTTTTTTCTACATTCTCTACATTTTCCCCTTTTTTCTTCATTTTTTCTCCCATTTCCAACATTTCTCCATTTTCCTCAACATTCCTCCATTTTTCTCCATTTCCCTCAACATTTCTCCATTTCTCTCAACATTTCCCTCAACATTTCTCCATTTTCCTCAACATTCCTCCATTTTTCCTCCATTTTCCTCCCCTTTTCTCCTCACAGAACGGAAGCAACGAGCAGAGGCGACAACTGGAGTACATCGTCGAGCAGATCCGTCGGGACCCCCCCCTCTCCCCCCCTCCCTCGCCCGAACCCCATCTGGATATAGAGGTGAGTGGTTTTTTGTTTGTTTGTCTGTTTGTGTGTTTGGGTGTTTGTTTGTCTGTCTGTTTGTTTGTGTGTTTGTTTGTTTCTCTGTCTGTGTGTTTTTGTTTGTCTGTGTTTTGTCTGTTTGTTTGCGTGTCCCTCTGTTTCCTACTCTTTGTTTGTTTATTTGTGTCACTTCTTTTCTGCGTAACTGTTAGCTCTGTCTATCTGTCTTTCTGTCTGTTAGTTTTTCTGTCTGTCTGCGTATTGTCTGTTTGTATGTATGCCTGTCTGTACGTTTGTCTTGTCTATTTACTTATGTGTCTATGTGTTCGTCTGCGTCTTTCTCTCTCTACCTGTCTGCCTATTTGTCTGTGTGTCTGTGTTTGTCTATTTCTGTCTACTTCTCTCTCTCTCTCTCTTTCTTTCTCTTTCCCTTTCCCTCTCTTTCTCCTTTCCTTCCCTCCCTCCTTCCCTTCCTCCCTCCCTCCCTTCTCCTCCTCCTCCTCCTCCTCCTCCTCTCCTCCTCTTTCCTCTTCCTCTTCCTCTTCCTCTTCCTTCCTCCCTCCCTCCCTCCCTCCCTCCCTCCTCCTCCTCCTCCTCCTCCTCTTTTCTCCTCTTCCTCCTTCTCCTTCCCTTCCTCCCTCCCTCCTCGTCCTTCCCCCTCTCTCTTCCCAATCTTCCTCATCCCAAGCCTTAAATAACAGATACCACCACTATCCCCTCCCCTTCTCCTTCTTCTCCCCCCTTCAAGGAGGACCCGGAATGGCTGGAGGAGGAGCTTGACCAAGACGACCCAGTTCGACCTCCACCCCACACTCCCGCCGGCGAGGACCTCCTGACCTGGCGCTACACTCTCCACCCGGGTAGGTCGTGTAGAGATCGAGGGGCGAGAGAGAGAGAGGGAAGAGGGGTGTGGTGTTTGCGTGTGAGTGTGGGGGAGAAAAGGGGAGAGGGATGGATGGATGGAGGGAGGGGTGTTAGAAAAGGGGAGAGGGAAGGGAGGGAGGGAGGGAGGGAGTGATGGAGGAAGGGAGGGAAGGGAGGGAAGGGAGGGATGGAAAAAGGGGGAAGGGAGGGAGGGAGAGGGGAAGGAAAGGGAAGGGGGGGGAAGGGAGGGAGGGGAGGGAAGGAAAAGGAGGGAGGGGAAAAGGGGGATGGAGGGAGGGAGGGAGGGAGAGAGACAAAAATTGAAAGAAAGAGAGTGAGAGCGGTGAAAGAGAGAGAGAGATAAAGAGAAAGAAGAGAGAATATATATATATATATATATATATATATATATATATATATATATATATATATATATATACGTACATATTTACATTTTATTTACACACACACACACACACACACACACACCACACACACACACACACACACACACACACACACCACACACACACAACACACACACACACACACACACACACACACACACACACACACACACACACAACACACACACACACACACACACACACACACACACACACACATATATACTATATATATATATATATATATATATATTTATAATATTATATATATACGATAAGAGAAGCGAGAAAAAAAAGAAAACCAAAGATTATTTACTTATCAGCTGTCTCTGTCTGTCTCTTCATCAGGTGAGTCTCGGCTGCCAGCTGACCCGCGCAAGGAAGCTGCTCCGACAAGGTAAATGATACGATTTTTGGAAGGATTTGGTTTCTGAAAAAAGATATGATTTGTATTGTATATTTATGTTTTTCCCTCTTGTTGGCATATTCTTTGTTATTATCTTTTTTTCTCCCTTTCTGCTGGATTCGTTTGTTGATGTTATTCAACAATTTCACCCCCCCCCAAAAAAAAAAAAAAAAAAATCTTTATATTTCCCCCACCTCTTTCACTCATCTCTCCACACCCTCTTCTTTATCTTTATCACTACCTCTTCGTCCATGTCTCTCCCCTTTATCCCCTCTCCCCTTCTCCCCCAGGTCAGCCCCCGTCCCTACCGTGCCCTGGGACCCCCGGGGCACCACCCCCCAGGCCCGCCCCAACTCAGATGGTTTTGTCATGAGGAGAAATTACAATGTGGTAAGCTGTGGCGATTTTTTTGTGTGATGTTTAATGGGATTTGAGGGATTTTTAGGGATGTGGAGTAATGTTGAGGGGTGTTCAGTGATATATAGGGATTTTAAGGGATGTACAGTAATGTTTAGTGATTTTCAAGTGATTTTTAAGGATGTGCAGTAATGTTAGTAATGTTTAGTAATACCTAAAAGCGTTTTAAGCAGGGAAAGTTCTTGCCTGAAATCTCAAGCGTTTTTCTTGCTAACTCAAGCATTTCGCTTGCTTTCTCAAGCGACCTCCCTAGATGGCTTGACTTGCGCTTGCTAAGTCAAGCGATGTACCGTCACCATGGCAATGGCGTCGGTCGCGTACCGTACTGGTCACGATCTTTCGAAAGCGGGCGTTGGCCAGGAACTCTGCTTAATATCTTATCAGATAAATAATTTTTCACGGTATCTGATTCTGTAATTTTCGTAAAATCATATTCAGAGATATTGAAATTAACTGAAAGCGAAAGGAGATAATGGAGATTATGGGAATAAAAAGTTTTACTTATGAATAATAAATGATTATAAGACGAACAATTTTTCTCTTATTGTTAAACTTCTCGTCTTTCTAAATCGAGAATATATCTGCTATTTTATGAAATAAAGAATATTTCAAGTAAAAAAGTCTGAGAAATTCCAGCAGCATTCTTCTGTTGATATTATATTCGATGATTTGTTATATTTAACCTCATAAAATCGGATATATGGGAATGGGTAGGCCTATATTTTAATTCAGGGATATTCATTTGTTTTGATAACGCGTCAGAATGAAAGGGCTGTCAATCGGAAGTGTGTGTGTCATTGTTTTAGAGTCACTTTATATGAATATAGGAGAAAATATAGCGCTCTGTTAAGATGTTTGGGTAGATTTATTTACTTCTCTGCCATCTTGATGCGGCGCTAGCTTGTCAGTTGTTTTGAATTGCGCGCTCAAACTGTTACCAACCCCTGCTTAAAACGCTTTAAGTGATTTTTAGGGATCTGCAGTAATGTTGAGTGATGTTAAGCGACGGTTTTGTCATGAGAAATTACAATGTGGTAAGATGTGACGATTTTTTTGTGATGTTTAGTAATATTTGAGGGATTCTTAGGGATGTGCAATAATGTTGAGGGATGTCCAGTGAGATTTAGGGATGTGCAGTAGTGTTTAGTGATGTTCAGTAATATTTAGGGATTTTAAGGGATGTGCAGTAATGTTGAGTGATGTTCAGTGATATTTAGGGATATTTAGGGATTTTAAGGGATGTGGAGTAATGTTTAGTGATATTCAAGTGATTTTTAAGGATGTGCTGTAATGTTTAGTGATGTTATGCAATATTTAAGTGAATTTTAGGGATATGCAGTAATGTTTAATGATGTTCAGTAAAGTTTAAGCAATATTTGTAATATAAAGTAATGTTTAGTGATGTTTAATGGCACTTAAGTGATATTTAGTGTTGTATAGTAATGTTTAGTGGTGTTCAGTAAAGATAAGTGATTTTAAGTGATATGTAGTAATGTTTAAGGGATTTTTCTATGATGTACTGTAATTTTAAGCGCTGTTTAGTAAAGTTGAAGTAATTTCTAGTGATCTACGATAATGTTTATTGATGTTTAGTGGAGTTCAGTGAGTGTTTTTTTTTCTTTTTTTTTTAAGCGTCTTTTCTTAGCGTGTGGTTTTTAATAAATTATATTTTTCTCCCCCTTTCTCCAATTTCTCTCTCTCTCTCTCTCTCTCTCTCTCTCTCTCTCTCTCTCTCTCTCTTCTTTTCACTTTCCTTCTGCCCCCCCCTCTCTCTCTCTCTTTTCCTTCTCCCTCGCATTCACCCTCTCCTCTTTATCCCTCTCCCTTTTCCTTCGTCGCTCCTTCTTCCTTCCCTACCTACCTTCCAACTTCACCTTCCACCTCTCCCTCCTCCTCTCCCTTTCCCTCTTCTCCCCTTCTTCCTTCCTTCCCTCCTTCCCTCTCTCCCCTCTCTCCTCCTCCTGCTCTCCCTTTCCCCCTTCCCTCCTTCCCTTCCTCTCCCCCTTCTCCACCACCCACCCTCTCCCCTTCCTCCTTCCCTCCTCCTTCCGTCCTTCCCCCTCTCTCCCTTTCCCTC